ATTATTTGTTCCCGGTCACTCCAAAATTTTTTAGACGGTAAAACCTTCACCTCAAATGAGGAGGTCAAAAACCTCCTCGATCAGTTTTTTGCCAGCAAAGACCAAAAATTTTTGAGCGTGGAATTATGCTACTACCAGAAAGATGGCAAAAGGTGTTGGACCAGAACGGTCAATATATAATTTAATAAAGTATTTGTTTATTATACGAAAACTGTCTTTCATTTCTACAACGAAAAACGAAATGACTTTCCGAACAACCCTATAATTCCTTAACCCCACAAAAAGAAATTTGCTTTTGTTAGGTCTTCTACTATTCTAATTGTCTGGTAATTATGTTCCGAAAAATTCACTTACTTGTTTTAATGTTAAAGATGATATGCTGTCTTTTGACTCATCCTTACGTATTTCGGAGTATTTTAAGAGCATTTTGGTTCATGATGAATCTAAAACAATATTTGTCTTAATTAGAATTAACAAACAAATATGTAAATTCGTTATTTTGAGATATATCTATGCAACTAATAGTAAAGCCCTGTATTGTTTTGGTTAGCATCTAATTAAACCTCTAATAGAATTGTCAAATATTGTATTTGACATTAAGGTAGCTGACACATAGTGATACTGTGTATCCACAAGGGAATACATAATTGTACATAAAAAATACATTAGTTTCAAGTTTCAACTTTGTTAGCCCCACTTTATTTATTCATTGTATTCATACCAGCCATTAAAGCAATCTTAAATTAGTGGATATTAACATATTATATAATTCACCTTATTCCTAACTGTTCTATTAATTTTGCGCATTTTCCTGGTAGGCTAGCAGCAGTACAAAATGCCAATTTTAACTATTTGTGAACTGTAATCTAATCTAGGTCTACCTCTACTCCTCTTAACTCTTGTTTCTACCTTTAATGTCTCTGACTAGCCCTTCATGCAACTTATCTCGCCTATTTCTTATTAACTTTCATAGAGTCCTCTGTTCTCCTATTCTTTCTAATACCTCTTCATTTCTAAAATTCTGGTATATTTTTTTATATTCGCTTTATATAAGAATAGTAAAAGTAGATGTAAATCACTCAAAAAACATATGTTAGCTTATGTACTACCTATAGATCTTCTAGAACAAACCCAATACCCATTGCTTTTTATGCTTTCCAAGTTTTATTATCAGAAAAATATGCAAACCAAACTTTAATTGCATCGAACGTAAATTGTTTATCAAATAACCATTCTATTGCAGATCGAAGAGGAGGCGATATATAGCATATAAAATAATGGATGTAAGTTTTACTGACAACTATAAATATATATGCAGATATTTAAAAACCATTTAATAAAAATTTTATCAATTGAAAATTTTCACCAATTTCAGACAAACCTGGCAAAGGTTTTGCTGAAATCTTTTTCATGCATATTTTTCCACACAAAATATGTTCAACACATTTGGTATCTCTCATGCAATTCAAGTTTATTATTATAAATAACAGCGGCATGAACTTCGTCATCCACATTTTAAATCTTCTAAAAGATTCAACATTCAAAATCATCAGTGTTTCAGTGTTTGTACGACTTGAATGCTAAACCAACATTTTTTCAATAATACATGGATTTAGTTTAAAATAGGTACTAACTTTTCAGGAAGAGGAGAGCTACATTATTAAATTGCATAAAAAAATAGTAAATGAAACCAATTAATAAGGAGAGAAACGAAATGTGAAGAATTGGTAGAAGAACCGAGAAGAAGAGTGATCAGATATGAGGAAAAGCTGGAAAATTAAAAGACGACGATATAAGGAAAGAGATATGGAGAACAAAAGATCTGAGAATAGGTATGAGAAACAGATATGACGAGGAAGGAGATAAGGCATTAGAGGAAATGAGAATCAGCAAGGGACAACTAATTGAATGGAAAAATAAAAGATTGAATGTAAGTAATATGATAAAGAGTAAATGAAGGAGAGGATCCAAGAAAAAAATCAATGTTCAAAAT